TCTTTCTATATATCGACGTGAATAGCCGCCAAAGGCTGCGTTATCTGAGAAAATAAGTCACAGTTCAAAGCCTTAGTGTAAGGGAGGTTACGCATATTTAGCTCTATCACAAGTTCCCCATCTACTAATAACATGTCTCCAGTATAGAACTAATCAACATTCTGACCCTCTCCTATGTTATTTTAACAATAGGTTTATCTCCTACATAATTATAACTTTCTTTGTTAGACATCCTTGAAAATGAGAGGTATAAGGGCAATAAAATGTTGTATACTTGTTTAAGGCTTTTCTCTCAAAAAATTCGAGTTATACGCTGTTCAAAACAATTAAAGGCATGTCGAAATTTGCAATATTATATCTAAGGCAATCTTAAATCACTCTTACAAAATAGAAGCCAGCCTATTACAGCCGACTATTGCAAATTGGCTTTGGCTCCAAACATCTTAGGGTAATGTAAAACTGCTTCCAAACCAACGGCAAAAAGCTAACCATCAACCACGACAAAAAACAACAACAAACAAACAAACAAACAAAAACGACAGTTACTTGTCAATTCTGGGTCATAACTCTCTTAAGATACGGGATTCGATATTGAATCAGATGTTTGCAACCACACGTGACCGACACGTGAGTGTAGAGACCGTTAGAAACTCAAGACCAGTTTATATGCCTAATCCACAGTCAGGTACATTCCACTTACACAAGATGCAGAAGAGCTCCCAGCTCGCCTGGAATGTCACCACATTCAGTGTACCAACAACATGTGGAGTAATATGTTTCTTACATCTTAGTCGCCTTTATTTTGCAACCAGATAACAACCTTACATTCACATGGAAAAAATCTAGAAATATAACAACGCTAATCATATGCAGAAACGTGACGCATACGGTGGTGGGGGAGTGGGATGTAAACAGGAATATATACTCATGTACGTAATGATCTCTACATCCTGCGGAATGTTTCATAGTTACTACTCATTATAGAGCCACATTTGATGATTGTTTGTGCTACTATATGCTTATTTAATTGGGCCTGACATTTGTTTAGTTTATGAGTCCACTGTGTTAAACTGGTCGATACATTCTTTGAAAAAGAAAAGTTTAACTCTACGCTCATCGGTCTTCAATCTTGTCGAGCTTGTATGAGATGCTCTTGGGAAATGCGTCACATTTTGTCAAGAGACATCAGACACTACAGCTGTCTTGAAAACAGCTCTTTCAGAAGAGTGCAGATGATAACTAAGGGCCTTACACTGTAAAAAAATCGCTGTTAATTTACAATAAAAGATTGATAGTCGAGCTGCCAGACCTTTTACCGTAAAAATAAGTTGAAAATCTTGAGCTAATTCACGGTGTATTCCATTAAGTTCTCGGCAATTCGCCGTTAGATGTTACTGGAAATTACTCTAAAATAACTCCTTTAGTCTGTGCTTTGGGTGTTTTCTACTGTTAGCCCTTAAATTAACTATTATTTCACATAAAATAACTGTATTACCATGTATTTCAAGTATTTTTGACTGCCATTCCACGACGAAGTACTTTTTAATTAATGTTTAATCCAAATGAAATATATTTTTATGTATGTATTTATAGTGTTTTTCACAGTCAATCTACAAATAAATATTTTAAAATTAATGGTTAATCCACATAAAGCAACGGTTTTATCATATATATCTCAAAGTTTTCTTCTTTTTTTTACAACTCACAGAAAAACACTTGAAATGGTTTATCAACGTAACATAATATTCATTGGTTGTTTCTGCGTTGGCAGAGTACTCTCAATGATTTCTATAAACATGCCTTTTTAATGTATTGTATTTAGTGAATTCCCCCTTGCAAACTGACAAACCACATGAAAAAGTTGCATCTGCTTCACGTTTGTGAAATGTACAGAAATCTATGTAAGTTTTGAAGGCCTGAAAGGATGCTTTACAATATTTACATGTAAACATCTTAAAATGCGTATTACTAGTTTTAATTTGGAAAATATCTCATACATTAGTCAGCACAAAAGGGATTTAATCTTAAAACGAACATCATTGCACCACTTTCTTTCAACCAGTGGTCTCCGACTATGGTCCTGGTTAGCTGCAATCCAGTTTGCTATATAAGTCAAGATCAACAACCAACTTGTGGCAGACTTGATAAAATATGTAAAATATAACTCCCAACTTAAAACAAATGACAAAAAGCTAAAGCATTAAAAACTCTTATTTCAAAGCTTACATATACACTCGAAATATCACACGACTATAATTCAATAAAATCCCAGTTCAGAAAATGCTAATGAAAAACACGACAAATTCTTGCTATACTATTAACACGTCCTTTTGACACATGGACTAATCAACATGAAGCATGCAAATACAGTGAGGTTTAACATGAAAAAAAAAAACTAAAGCGTTAACAAATAGTTGTACTAAAATTTTAAATTTTAAAATGACAAGCACACTTGCCCTGACCTAAGGCTTGACTTGTGACATCTAAGTCCCGCTAGTAATGATGATATTAGTAATAGTATTATTAATAATAATTAATCAACTCGTATCTAAAACTAAAGAAACGTCTGAAAACAGGAATGTGTCCTGAGCAGTGTTGCCAAACTTAAGTTACTTGGGTTATTCCTATCTTTATTGTGTGTAACAATGTGTTTACTCCAATGCTTCCCTAATACTAAATGCCCTCCAGGTACGTTTTTGCAGTATTTGTTAAGCAGTAGGCAGATTGCGACAGTAGTGAATCAGAAGACGAAATTAGTTCCATCTTTAGTTCAACGTAGTTTCTTCTTGTTTTTTCTCTCTTCTCTTTCTGTTAGTCTTATCTCAGCTTACATAATTAAACACGTACATTTGTAATCACTGCTCTCCGATAATACCACAGAAATCCTCTGGTTGTTTTTATTATAGTATGGATATAACAGTTGAAAGTTCGCCAACTTATTTCTAAGCCATTTTTTAAAAACACCTTAACAGTTTTTATTTTTAAAGATAATAGTTTTTGTAAGTGTAAGAGCAGAATTTTTTGTATTCTAAAATAGATATTAATTTTTCTCTATTATATTATTGTTATTAATAGGGCCTTTACCAGGAAGAAAAATAGTTGTGGTAGGCTTATAATATAACTGAAATTTTTAATCATGAAAATCTTGAAGTATTAATTTTTGAAAACAGTTTATGTCTTAGAACAATTTATATAAATATATACATATAGATATATATACTTGCTGTATAAATTTCGACCAGGTAGCTGAATTGCCAGACTCAGAGCGCTAACACTTAGTAGGGAAAATGCTTGTTTGTTTGTTTGTTTTGAATTTCACGCAAAGCTACATGAGGACTATAAGCGATAGCCGTCCCTAATTTAGTAGTGTCAGACTAGAGGGAAGGCAGCTAGTGATCACCACCCACCGTCAACTCTTGGGCTACTTGGGAATAGTGGGATTGACCGTCACATTATAACGCCCCCACGGCTGAAAGGGCGAGCATGTTTGGTGGGACGGGGATTCGAACCCGCTACCCTAACCACCTGGCCATGCCGGGCATGGAAAAAGCAAACGTGTATAAACATAAATGTTTAAGTATCGTACTTTACCGTTAATTTAAAGAAATACCGTCGTTTTGCTGTCAGTGTATTTTTCAAACGGTTTCACATTTAATTCAATGAATATGGCAATGTTTTGAAAAAATGGTTTGGTACAGTAACATTAAAGTATGTATTCATTTTTATTTTATTTTTCACGTTCTTTTAATGTTTTTAACCATAGTTTAAAATGCGATTTCTAAGATTAAAATATAACAGTGAATTGCGTGTATTTTACGGAATTTATTTTACATTATATTAACACTCTGATTTTAAACATCTAACATAGGTACCGGGTGTCTTGTTGTTAGTGATAGCCATACTCAATATTGAGGTAAAATGGCATGAGCTGTAAAGATATACAAATATATGCATTCAGTAAATGCCAATTTACAAGCATTTACTGAATAGCCAATGATTTACATCTCAGTTTAAACGAGTGATTACACAGGCTTGCGATGATTTTATTGTCTTGAAATGTTTACATGTTCTACAGTAATCCCTATACGCTGAAGCCGAAAATGATATCCATTTTTCTCTATCACGTACAGATGTTCCACAAAACGTCATACATACTTTTACATAAGTGAATCATTTTCATTGAAATCGGGTCACAGTTTGTTATGCTTAAAATGCTAACGATCACTGCCTATAGATTTCTCTAGACCAATCGCGACGTGAGAGTCTTATCAATCGTTCTAGAACCCATGAGAAACACACCGCTAGTATATAAACGGTTAATAGGCTGCATGACGTGTCATTTCTGGATAGCATTTGTTTGTTTGTGAACTTTGACATATTTTTTTCTTTTCAGTATTATTTATTCGTCGCTATAGTAACAAGAGGGTATGTAAATGATCCAAACACATTATGTTATATTGGTAGTAAATTTGTTGTAAATTTGATCCAAGTAAGATTTTTTTCTTCTTCCCGACTTGTAAAAAATCCTTACGTGATAGAAAAAAAAAGAATATTATTTTCGACCTCTGCGTAGCTGAATTATGGAAAATCTGTTATTAAATTTAAACCGACTTTTATGAACTTTAAATTCGCTGGTCTGTATTATTAGACATGTGATTTATACAAAAATCAACCCAGAGAGTTGATTTATAATATTTCATGACAGTGGTTTTGCTTTGTTGTAGCTATAATATTACAAACGCTGCTTGTTTTTAATTGTTAGAGTAGTGTAAAGCTGCTTGTGAAATGCATGATTATCTCTAATAATATTGTTTACGTGAATTCCTTTTCGTATAAATGTGGGCAACAAAAGGATAAAATAGGATAAAATCTACTCTGTAGTTTTAAGAATAACCTAATCTCAATAGACGTTTCATCCAATAATCAAACACCTAGCTGCATTCCTTAAAAACGGAATATATGTGTTATTCATGTTCGATAAAATTTTTATGATCTTCTAGAAAGTGGAAGGCAACGTATTATTATTCACATCCAAGATGTCAATGACGAACTACCTTATTTCATCAATCGTCCATTACCAATGCAAACAGTTGTCCAACTTAATGCTGTACCTGGCACACCAGTCTTTAAACTTCAGGCTAGAGATCCAGACACGGATCACAATATTCATTATGTGTTGGTCCGAGACAGAAGTAAGACACTTCAGTTACGATCTGAATTATGTAAAATATATTATTATACATTTACAACTGCATAATGTTAAACATTATGAACGATTATTTTATAAAGTATTTTCGTGAACCGGATATTAATCTGAATTTTTAGATTTTTACCGTATTCTCAAGTAAGATATTTCAAATAATATATTTTATTTTGAATGGATTACTTCCTATTTCTCTCTTAACTGCAAAATCAATATTTAAGATTGTTTTATGAAATCACTATACAATTTTGGATGTACATGCTCACATCAAAGTGTTCTTTGTTTATAACACAGATACATATGTAAAATCTGCAATAGTGAAAAAGTTCAAAAACACCTCTATAATAGAATTGCTTTCAAAGGGAATTAAGGTTAAAAGCTTTGAAAGAAGTAACGGGCAAGGAATAAATATTTCAAGTCTGTTGAGTCATATTATTGTGCTGTTGGTGTTGTGCTTACATTACTTTATCATTTTTGATAACAAGAGAAGCATGAAACAAGTTGAAACCTGAGAAAGTGTCTCTTTTTGTTGTTATTTTTTGGAAAAAGTAAGTAAAAACTGAGTATTGGATAAATGTAACATTAAAGAATCACTCTTATTTGCCTATTTACAAACGATGTAAATATGTCTCACTTGCTAAACCCATGATTTATATCCATTCGACGTTCTTCGTGTTATTGAGGTCAATTAATTTGGCTATACAGAAAATAACAGAAGTTTCCATCACGTTCACATTGTATTCCAAACTTTAGTGGATATATTATTTAGAATAAATTATTGTTGGTGCAAATTGTTTCATTATAAACTAGTTTTTACTGAAGACATTCTTTTTCATTAAAGTAGATGGTGATAATGTAGATTGTGATAAAGTAGATGGTGATAATGTGGATTGTGATAAAGTAGATGGTGATAATGTAGATTGTGATAAAGTAGATGGTGATAATGTGGATTGTGATAAAGTAGATGGTGATAATGTAGATTGTGATAAAGTAGATGGTGATAATGTAGATTGTGATAAAGTAGATGATGATAATGTCGATACTTAAAGTGTTGCTTCGTGATAATAAAATGATAGCATGATAAAATGATATCTTATACGCTGAAGACGCAGACAAAATATGCTTTTATCAAACAGTTCTATTTGTGGTAAAAGTTTACCAGTTTATATATTTAACAAGAAAGGGAATCTTATATTTTTTTCTTACAAACATCTCTTAGCTGGAGGTCGGTTTGAAGTGGATGAACGATCTGGAGAGGTGAGAACCAGAGGAAAAGAGCCATTCATGTTGGACAAAGAATATGTCTTATATGTTAAGGCAGAAGATCGCAACGGGAAACTCGGTCAATATAACTACCAATCTACACCTGAGATGAGACTGTCCATTATGGGAGGAAAAAGGGCTCCACAATTCTACATGGAAAAATACAAGACGAGTATTCCAGAGAGCCAAAAGAAAGATTCCGAGTGAGAAATGAAGATAATATTTGTAATGCTAATTAGGGTTTACATATCGTTTCAAAAGTTCCAGTGTTTAATGCTAGCTTATTCTACATAGAAATTGCATTCTGAAAACTGTGGAAAGATCCTCCACGGATATATTTCTCTTTAGGAGTGTACTCAAAGCTATATATATATATTTAAATAAAAAACTTGCATTATGAAATACCATTTAACACAAAATTTCTGTTTTAATTACCCTAATCCACCTTTTGTTTATACAGGAATTAAAAAAAAATGTTATAAACATCTCAATACATAATTGAACTCAATAGATCTATTTATTAAGTCTTATTCTGTTCATCTAGTTACTAATTCTAATGTAGGTGAATTCAACCAGATCTTATTCTGTTCAACTACTTACTAATTCGAACACATAGGTGAACTCAACCATATCTTATTCTGTTCAACTATTTACTAATTCTAACACATAGGTGAACTCAACCATATCTTATTCTGTTCAACTATTTACTAATTCTAACACATAGGTGAACTCAACCATATCTTATTCTGTTCAACTATTTACTAATTCTAACACATAGGTGAACTCAACCATATCTTATGGTCAAGGTGATTACTTCTACTGAATGGCAACATCTGCTACCATCACTAGGTTCTTGACTTCTGCTGAGTGGCATTTATCATGATGGCAGCAGCTGTTGTCCAAACTAGTGCTTGTGTTTTTACTGAACTCAACCAGATCTTATTCTGTTCAATCAGTTACTAATTCTAACACATAGATGACCTCGACCAGATCTTATTCTGTTCTATTAGTTTCTAATTCTAACACATACTTGAACTCAACCATATCTCACTCTGTTCTACTAGTTATTAATTCTAACATAGGTGAAATCGTTCTTACACAATTTTAAATGCTACAGTATTGTATTATCTTGCAGCATTATTGAAGTCAAGGCTAAGTCGTTCGCAGATCGACAGATTCGCTATACTTTACGTGCCATAGGGTCAGGAGCTGGAACTTTCAACATAGACCCATCTGTTGGGATTGTCAAATTAGCCAAGGATCTTGACTACGAAGATCTTCGACAACCCAAGACTTATTCTTTGGTAGTAACAGCAACAGAAGACTCAGGAGGCTTCTCAACGTCTGTCGACGTGAGAATAAATTTTGTTTTTCTATAGAGATGAGTCTTTTACTAAAAGCATACTTTATGTTCCACTATATAAAAAAAGAGAAGAGACTGAGGAATCGTATAATGTGCAGTTAGGCTTAAGGTTCAGTCCAATCAATTTTTAAAATTATTTCGAAAGGTATACGTCGTACAACAATAGTATTTACCCGTCTGTTGTAACGTACATTTATTGATAATTTATCCAGTACTTACTAGTTTTGTTGCATAGAAATACTAACCAAAATATTAATTAATTCATTTCGTGGATTTGTCGCTTTTGAATTTAACATTTTCAAATATTTTCCCTACTTCACTTTGCGGAATTCTTTTGTTTCTGCAATGTCACTAAATTTGTTTTCTTAATATTATATATTACGTCTATCGATTAAATGATAGAAATATGAGAACAGGAAGCTTAGGGGATAAAAATCACAAATACAAGAAATTGAACATAGCACGTACTTCTGGAACTTTAATTTCTATAAAAAAATATCAGAGAAAAAACAGAAAAACAACAACTAATAAAACTAACTGATATTTAAAAAATAATAATCTGTACATCCGTAAAGTTATGTATTATTAATAATTAATGTGATTAAAGAAATTAAATATATGTTCATTGTCAATGAAGGGAAGTAATTATACATTTTGTATTGTTTATGATAAAAACATATTCACTGAGAATCAAACCTATTAGGGAAAATATTATAATATATCCTTTAAAAGACTATATATTGTAAGATGAATAACTAATATACGCGTAGCTTACTGGACATTTGTCATAAGCATTTTGAGTGTTAAGATTTTTTAAAGAATACTGTAAGTTTGAAGAATGTCACATGTCATAATATTTGAATATTTGTACGATGCTATAAAGAAATATTGAAAGTCTGACAACCGCATGACGTTACGAATATCTTAATGCAGTTAAGGTTGACTGCATTACCAAATTAGTCAGCGAATGGAGTTTTTGAATCATTGTAACGGACTTAACAATTTGGGTGTGAAAACTTTTTGTTGTTTTGTATCATGATTTATTTGCAAAAGGAATCTAACCTAAAATATTAAAATGAAATAAAAAATAAATTATTTTGTAAAATCTATAACTTTATAAAGAGAATTGACCAACCGTTATACCATCTTGGTATAATATCGTGTAAGTGTACGAATAAATATAATACAATTTAGATATGTAATAGACCTAACTTGGAATATGAATTATAAATTTATTTTAATGTTACATTAAAATATGAGCAATTAGTATAACATTTAGGTAATAATAATTTGTTTTTTGTTCTCTGATTATAGTTAACAATTACAGTGAATGATGTAAACGACAATTCTCCTCGTTTTGAACTTCCTGATTACCAGGCTCATAATGTAGACGAAGATGTTCCATACGGAACGTCTATTTTACGAGGTAAGTCTGAATATGTCGACATCTTAACAAACACGTTCTAATCAAAGTGGAATCATATAATGACTTACTTCAGATAAGAAATGGTTTTCTTTATCAACCAGGTCTTTCTTCTCCACGTAACATGAATCCTTCTATCTAGTAGAAAAATTGTTTAAATTAGCAGTTTGTTTCTTTATAACAAAAACATTAGACTGTGCATGAGAAATAATTAGTAATAGAGCAAAAACTTTGATGAATTTCATGCAATGCTCATATTGTTTTTAGTTTGATTTGAATTCACCACAAAAAACAAATCAATCTAAACTTCCTATTCGTGATTTCAGAATATTGCCAGAAGCTGATACTAAGATATTTTCAACTTGTCAAAAACCTTCGCTTTAGTTTGTTTGTTTTTTAATTTGTTGAAAGGGCAGTTCTTGAAAACACAAACAGATTTAGGGGAACTGAAAACATTGAGAAAACATATTTTTTGAAAGTGCGCTTTAGAGACAAACAAATTAAACGATTTGATTAAGTTTTGAAGAATCAATTTGTAAACATTTCTAAAACTTGCCTAACATACTGTGTTGCTACGGCAGTAATTTGATCATTAGAGGTAGTTACGAGGATATATTAATACATCAGGTTCTCTACTAGATTATTTTTCTCACATGTTCAACACTACAAAATGCACACTCTCGAAATAAGTGTTATTATTCCACAAAATACTGCTATTGTGTAGGTAAATGACACCTTTTCTTCCATTCCTGATAAGCACTTAAAACTACATGTAATGGTAATGATCTGTAATATGGCGCTGTTCTGCCTTATGAAACAACTGTAACGTTATTACATTTTTAGAAGGTTAAGAGTCTGATAATTTACATGGTGAATAGAAAAGGCAATTTAACAGATGAAATTCACTATAATATATTCGGGAAGACCATTGGAAGTGTAAATGAAAATAACAAATGCATACTTACACTCAATAAAGATATACTGAAGAACATTTGTAACAAAGTAAACAGTTAGCTTTAAGTTGGTTTTTTTAATTACGTAATATAAATGTAATATTATTCTTCAAAATTACAGAAAAATCATGGTTGCACGTGTCTTCTTAAATTTCACAGGGTAGTTTATTGTCATAGGAGTTAGGAGACAGTGATGAACTTGAGATGTATTAGAAGCTGAACGACTCATTGGAATTGTCGAATCAGAATGCAGATCAAATTTGATTGTACTTTGAGTTATGCATAAATATGTAGCATTGGGTTTGACTTACGGAAAGGTTAGCCTAAAATTATATTATTTTGAAAGTCATTCATTTTATAAATTGAACCTTCAACGATTATGGTTGGGCTAATTATTAATTCTTATTTTTAAAAAGTTTTATGCTACAATTTTACTGGCAAGAACATAATTAAGGGTCATTTTTGTAGAAAACTGGAAATATTTCAAGAGGATATTTACATTTGCCTGAGACAGAAATTAAACTACTTAAAACGAACAAACAAATTTGTATCTCGCTCTGATACAATACATATTTATCGCAGTAAAAATGTTACGTTATGTAATATCTGCAAAAGCATTTTACTTTCAGTAACGTTAAAGCTAATATATTATTCAGTTACATTCTGAAACTGACAAAAAGTTAAAATTATACTGTGCCTTATTCCGCGTTCATGTTTGATATTTTCTCAAAGGAGGTATATATATATTTTTTTTTGTTTACCAAGTAGCTAAAAACTGTTGAGTTACCTTATCATAACTTATTTAATAATACTTTGCTTTCAGATTTAGCTTTACAATAGGCATAGTTTTATATATATATTATGCTTAAAGTTATTTAAAAAAAATTCAGCTCTTTTTTTTCCTCTGAATTTCCAGTTTCTGCATCAGACTTAGATTCAGGTAAAAACGCTGAAATAACATACATTGTCCAGAGTAAAGACTTCACAATTGACGATAGAGGAATCATCTATTCAAATAAAAGATTGGATGCCGATATAAACAACACATACGTGTTAACTGTTGAGGCCACTGACCGCGGAGACCCTCAGCTGACCGGAACAGCTACAGTCCGAATTTATACGGAAAACAAAAACGATGAATTTCCAAAATTTAGTCAGGACGTCTACACACCTAATGTTGACGAAAATGCAGGACCTAATACCCTAGTGACTACAGTAGTAGCCAGTGATAAGGATGGCGATAATATACATTTTGGATATGTAGGAGGAGGGACCGTCTCGGGCATGTTCCAAATCGAAGAAAGGACGGGTAATTTATTTCATAAACGTTGTCTAAAAATCAACATAGTTATATTATTTTATTGAATTTTATCTATACGTATATTTGGTGTTTATTGGATAGCCATTTAGCCACAAACTAATGTTAGAACAGTTTTCGGACTCAATCAAAGAAACATCACCTAAACTTTTTTGGTGCGTATAGAGTTTGTATTACCAATAATTTTGTTTAAAGCAGGTGTATGGAAACTTTATATAATTTGATTTTAATGTTTTCATTATAACACAATTATTGATTCAAAATTTTAATACATGCAGTTTATTGTAATTGATTAATAAATTTTGATAAAATTATAATTTTGTAAACATTTAAAATTCACCTATGTATCTGTAACTGATTTATCAACACAGATACCTTCCCATCAAACAGTTGAAAATATCAAACAAATACTCAAGTACAAGATATCAATCTTTTATTAAAGAAGACCTTTATCGGTTATAACTGCTGTTTCCAGTGTATAATTTTAACGTCTTTATGAAGTTTTTGAATCACTTTATTCTTTCTTTCAAACTGATAGGCGTAATTCGATTGATTAATGGAAAGATCAAGTTAGATAAGGATAAGTATGAATTGAACGTTACTGCTACTGATGATGGTTCCTGTTGCAAGGATGGCAGATTAACACCACATACAAGTACAGCTTTAGTTGTAGTGTTTATTACTGACGTAAATGACAACAAGCCTGAGTTTGAGGATTGTGACACCTACTCACCTACAGTGGAAGAAGGAGCGCCTAGTGGCACTACCGTTATTACAGTATGCACCTATAATATTTTTTAATTAGTAATAATTCAGAGAAACATTATCATGTAAGCTATTAACTGGACTAAACTATGTAATATTTAAAGGCATGAGACATGTAACAGTGGCTATATACCAAGGAAAGGCTTAGCGACCTGTATATTTAAATATGTAATATAATGCTTACTGTAAGTACTTCATTGTGGGTTGAAAAAAGATATTTGAAAATTACTTATTTTTTTCAGATTTTGTACTAATATATCATAATAATTCATCAATTTATCAGTGAAGTGATAAAAATATTCAAAGCTTAGAATTCCTAGCTTTCGAGATTCTTGTAATATAACACCACTGTTTTCATTAAAACACTACCCAAAGGTACAAGATCATTAACATACCTCACTCATCACTATGGTATATCTTGCTATAGCGATAGGATACATAAAGGTTTGTAGAAATACTATACTAAAGTCCCTAGCAGAGAGAGAACACAATAGTATAGGGAGAGTAAACATACCAATTGCAAGGCACTTGTCTTGAGTAAAAAATAATAATTTAGGTTCAGTAATTAGAAACGTAATTAGTAATGAAATTATAACAGATAATCTTGTGATCAGTAAAGAAATTATAATAGATTGTAAAAGAGTAGCTAGGAATGTGTAAGTAAAGTGAGTAACTGCATTGTAATATAATACCTATTGTTGAGTAAGAAAGATTATAGCCGTGTGAAAGCCTATTATTGGGTAAATATATTATAAGTGTGTTTCTCTATTATTGAGTAAAGGCATTATAAATGAGTGACTGACAAAGAGTATTATATTACTATGGAGCATACATCTAATAACGAATAAAGTTATTGCAATATAATAACCAGCGAAGAACATATAGATCATAAAAAAGAAATAATTAATTATAACTAAAATCTATAATATGACTTGATTAATGACTAAATGGTTAACCCTAAAAGCACCACTACTATGTCATTCGAAAACTTGGAGAAATCCCGTGTTTTATTTTGTTGTCAGAGAAATTACTTGGTGGTTGGTCAAAAACTATAAAAAAGGTTTGCCTAGATTAATGGAAATATATAATGTCGATTATTAGAATATTATTGAAATAAACTTAGAGGAGGGTAAAGATAATATTGCAAGGAATGAGTCTACGTTAAGAAGAAAGTTGTTCGTAGAATGAAAACATTTCAAGTGTGAAACTAAGTACACACTGAATGATGCTGAAGTTCATGATTAAAATATTAACAAGTAGGATAATACGGTGGACGGTTTAATAAATTAATCGATCGAGCAACGAATTATTTTTATATTAATAATTCTATGAAACATGTCTGTATGGATGAGTGATAATTTTACGATGCATTGGTAAACACAACAACGTCGGTTTAATTTACGTCTCGTTGGCTTCTCTATACTAAAGTTTTCACATAATTTTTTTGGCTGACACTGAACATGCTTTTTTGTAACAATATTATCCTTTTTATAGCGTAACATTGACGTTGTTTTGGTTCTATTTAAAGGTTAAAGCTACGGACAAAGACAAAGGCCATAATGGATTGATCAGCTACAGCATAGTCAAACAACCTAACCAGAAAGGAGCCAAGTTTGTTGTGGATGAAATCTCTGGCGTTCTAACAGCTAACAAGGTTAGCCTTCTTCTTCGTACTATCCAAGATTATTTACACCCAACATTAGTGTATTTTCATGATAAAAATGTTTCTTAAATAAAGCATAGCCTTATCGAAGAAAACAATTAATACTGCTGTTTTTTTTTATAAAACAGTGCTATAGAATTAATTATTTACTTATGCGTACTTATTTTGTATTATGATAATAATGTTCAAATTTTAAAAACTAAAATCCAGTGAACTTTATCTTCAGTTGAAAATTTATAAAAATTGTCATTAACTCATATTATTGTCCTCACAATAAAACTCTAAAGTACAACATTGTATGAACATATTGTTATCCTCATAGCAAGACTGTCTAAGAGTATAACCTTATAAAAACATATCATTGTCTGTATAACAAGACTCTGTATGAGTATAACCTCGTAAAGACATATTATTATCCTCATATCAAAACTGTAAGAATGTAACATTATAAAAACATATCACTGTCCTCATAACAAAACTCTCTAGGAGCATAACCTTATAAAGACATATTATTATATTCACAACAAGACTCTAGAAGTATAACCTTATAAAGACATATTATTATATTCATAACAAGAACAAGACTCTCTAGGAGCTTAACCTTGTAAAGACATATCATTATCTTCATAATAAGACTTTTGAAGAGTATAATATAGTAAAGCCATATTATTATCTTCACAACAAGACTCTCTAAGAGCTTAACCTTGTAAAGACATATTGTTATCTTCATTATAAGATTTCTTAGGAATATAACCTTATAAAAACATATTATAATCTGCATAACAATATTCAATTGGAGTATAACCTTATAAAGACATATTGTTATCTTCATAATAAGGTTTCCTAGGAATATAACCTTCTAAAAACATATTGTAATCTGCATAACAATATTCTATTGGAGTATAACTTTATAAAGACATATTATTGTCTTCATAATAAGAATCTCTAGGAGTTTAACTTTATAAAGACATATTATTATCCTCATAACAGAACTCTCTACAAGCATAACCTTATAAAGAGATATTATTATTTTCAAAACAAGACTCTCTAGCATTACAACTCATACAAAAACATATTCTTAGCCTCAAAACAACTTTATAAGTATTTAAGGATGGATAACCTTATCCTCACACGCTTAAGAGCATATATGTTCATCCTCACAACAAGACTCTCTAGAAATACAACAATTTAGAGTCACAGGTCATAACATTATCACAATAATTTCCAGACAGAAATAACTAAAAAAAAAAAAAAACTTCAAAGAAACCAACCTATTGAGGATAGACGTCCTTATGGTAGTAAAAATGATTGTCTGGAGGAGTATCCTTGTAAACCCTAGCGTTTTTTATCATTATATGGAAGATAGTCTTGAAAAGTAACCTTTTAAAGATGCCTGTCTAGAGAAGTATCATTGTAAACACTTATCACCATAAAAAAGAACGCTCGGGAGATTAATCTTCTGAAGACAAAGTCCTTCCCATATTTGTATCTTATATTTGTGGCAAAGCTACTGAGGCTGTTTGCCGCCGTCCCTAATTTTGAATTACTGACCAAAAGGAAGGCAGCCAGTCAGTAGTACCCTATCACCCATCATCCACGCTAATGGATTAACTGTCTCACCCTCAGCCTAAAGTGCGGAGAATGTTTTGTGGTGTTACAAGGATTTGAACCCGTCTTGACATTTCCTAAATCCAGAGCTCTATGACAGGGCCAACCGTCGTACCCATTTTTATTATAATAAAAATAACTGCCCAGAAGAGTAACCTTGTAAAGACTGACATTTCTATTCATATATAATGAAGCTATCCAAGTGTCTCATTCTAAGACTAATCTGCTAGAAAACGAGTAAAAAAAATATTGTTTAACAAGACTCAGTTTATTACAATTTGTTACGGAATCACACATGATAAGAAACATCTGTGAAATTTACATGGCTTTCTCCTTAACTTGGTGATATCTGCCCATGTGGGGACTGTTAGTTTTTTAGTTGTATTGTGTGGTCCTTAATTTTAAAAATCTAGCTTGGGTAAGTTTACGGGATATAAGGTTGGGTTCACTAGTTGATACAGAAAAGTACTAAATGCATTCTAGATTATAGCTTTTGACTTGAATGTAGGTCTAACAGTAGCAAGTTATGTTAGGTCTAATTAGCAAAACACTGATTTGTTAGCATAAGCACCTCTATTTAAAATCAGGTTGATCATGTACACTTAGACATAATTGTTTGCTTAATATTGAGACATATGTTTCTAATTTCGTTTTTGATGATAATCAAGAGTATTTATTGAATTAAAAATACGTTACAACCTACAAATGCATTTTTTCTCTCACAATGAACGTTTACATGTGGTGTTCTATTCTATTTCATAATACAGCAAGTATAAAAACAGAAAGTCAAATAGTGTTTCGTCTTCTGAACATTCTTAGGTATTTGACAGAGAAGGAGAAGATGGGCGGTTTGTAAGTGTGACAGTAAAGGCTACGGATAGAGGAAGCCCCCCTCTTGAGGGAGCGTGTTCTTTTAAGGTAGAGATCACAGACATCAATGACAACCCGCCACTTTTTGATCGACAAGAGTATAAAGAGCATGTGAAGCAGGATACGCCAGTTGGGACTAACATTCTCAGAGTGTCAGCTTCGGATGAAGATGCTGACGACAATGGAGCTGTAGTGTACAACTTGTCAGCCCCTTATGACCCGTCGGACTTTAGCTACTTCAAAATTAACCCTGAATCTGGCTGGGTCATACTTCAGAAAGCACTAGACGTATGACATTTTGAACCATTTCATTATAAAGTAGACTGTATTTACGGATGTTCTATTTAAGTCTAGGTTAATTAAGTTATTTAAAGCAGTAAATAAAATCGTTCAACTGCAAAAAAAGACCAATTCAATAAAAAAAGTTAAAGTAATTACAAAAGTTATATAGAAAATTACAATAAACGGAGAAACAGAGGTATTTGGGAGAAAACGAAGTTATGAAAAAATTGAGTGTTGGGGGAGACGATTAATATTATAATCTGATATAAGGTTGTAATGGTATTTCGGAAAACAATAATCGTTTTAGTGATTTGTTTGTTTGTAGTTAAACACAAAGCTATACAATGGGCTGTCTGTGCTATGCTCACCATGCTTATCGATACCAAATTTTTAGTGCTACAAGACTGCAGGCTTATCGCTGAGCTACCGGGAGCCTTTTTTAGGAGAATGCTATAGTTATCATTAATGTATATTATTTCTCTGAACAGGAAAACTAATAAATCAGGAGATTTCCAGTTGTGTTTTACTGGATGGCAAGTACTAGACAAATCCAATGAAACATTTTGCTGGTGGTATCGGATAAATCTAGTGAAACTGGTGGTACTATTTATCCAGTACCACCAGTTTCACTAGATTTATTCAGTGCCACTAGTAAAGCGTTTCACTGGATTTGTCCAATGCCACTAGTAAAGCGCTTCACTGGATTTATCCTTAGTGATACATTTTACCTTGACACTGAATAAATATAGTAAAATATTCTACATGTGATACTGGTTAAATATAGTGAAACAGTTTACTTTGATAATGTATAAATTCGGTTAATATGAACCCTATTAACATCAGATAAATCCAGTTAAGCTTTGTAAATTTCAGGTATAAAGTAGGTGTTACTTTGAATTCTCTAGTAGAGAATTAAATGTCATTATCACGAGGCCTATTGGATCTTCTCTTACATTTTTATTCTGTTGTTTGTTTAGTTTAATATCAAACTATTGCCAAGAATAACAAAACTGGTATAATGCACATGATACGTGAAAACTTGTAAAATTCCCTCTTATGGTTTTTAATTACATAAGTGAGTATAAGTTTTGTAGTTTAGTGAACATGTAGCATTTCATAGAAAGTTTTAAAGCAATTAACAAAATGTAGTGATGTAATAACGTTTAGGGTAAAATATCGTTCCTGTGAAATACGTTTGGGTTTAAGAGTTTTACAGACAGGAAAAAAAACGTCATTCATGTTAATCATTCAAGTGCCTTCCAGAGAATGTCGAAGTAACTATATATTCCGATCTTTCTCAAGCTATATTTACGTATGTTTTCCGTAATTTTTGTCCAATAATATTTTCAAAGTTAATAATTATTGCTGTGTTTCGAATACTTCTCTAAACATTTCAATAATGTAACCAACAAAGTTTCTACAACGTGCATATTCTTTACTACAATTACAGCTACATAGAAAAATAAATTAATTTATTCTTTATTATTCAAGAATTACACAGAACATATGTTGAGCTGTGACGATCAGTCCGAATACGTTATTTTAATACCGGTAATACAGCAGAATAACGTGAAATTACGTTCGAAATGCAAGTAACTTTTTCAACCGGCACTAAATCACGGCACACTTCACTCTTCTCTTTCTTTGTAAGTTAAACTTTGAACTGAAATAAATGTCGCTAACAATGGCGTATTATACTTAGTAATGAGCAATTAATGTCACTAATTTACTCAATAAATACCTTAGTTATTCGCATTTAGTTTGCAGCATCAGTTTATATGGAACTTTATTGTTGTAAATGGGTATAAATGTTTTCAAAAACTATCTTAACCCATTTTGTCATTTCCCTTCTTCCAAAAACTAATATCTTATTTCATTGATGATTAGAGTCGTAACGCCAGTGTTATAATGTGAACAAATTAATCAATATTTTAGGATTATTCATCAACTCTAGTTTGGAATCCTGTTTACTACTTGTATAAATATCAGACTTTACATCAATTTTATTTTTATGCGGCTTAGAAAATCCTAACATGGGCTTAAAATGAAAACATTAATTATTGAGATTATATGATCTTATTCTTACCTCGTAAATTACATCACCTGTTATGTTGTTTAGTTTTTCACACATCATGATATTTTAATAACATAAAACGCTATTTACTTGTGCATTTCACAATTTTGGTTGCACCAGGTTCATTTCGTTATAATTAACACATATACAGTACCTATATAATTTGTATCTATCATTTGTTTATATATATATATATATGTGTGTGTGTCTTTATAATAAATCCAGTTGAATGACATTTTCCGTGAAACATAAAGAGAAAGCTTATTTATGAATACAGAACCAGAATAGAATTTTCTTCAATGCAAGAACTTGGAATTTTATTATAAAATCTATAGATATCTTATATAGAACGATTTGAATTATTATAACCACTTTTCTCCTTTTCATTCCCTTTAGCGAAAACATTACAACTTACAAGCTATTGCTTTAGATAAAGGAAAACCACAGCATCATGCTACAGTTGAGTTGACAATAGAAGTTGTAAATAGAGACAGCAACCCTCCAGTGTGGGACCAACCTGTCTATGGACCCATTGTAATCAAAGAGAACTTAGGACGTGGAGAAGTGGTTACTTCTATCAAAGCTAGGTAAGCTGTGTGACAGCTACTACTAAACTAGGCTGAACTTTCCGTAGAGAAATGGCTACGTGATGACTACTACCAAAGCTAGGTAGGTTGTGTGACAGCTATTATCAAACTAGGCTGTGTTATAGTGAACTTTCCTTAGAGAAATGGCTACGTGATGACTACTACCAAAGCTAGGTAAGTTGTGTGACAGCTA